TTTTGCCACCTGATTCCTCTTTTTATATATCTAAATCTATATTGATATCTATGTCTATATATAAAATCATGGCAAATAGCTATATGAAAAGCCACTTTAAAGTATATTTAATTTAGGCAAAGCTAAACCCTCGAAAAAGAAGATTAAAATTACACCAAGATTACTTCACCCCAAAGCTGATATTTCTTACTTTTTATATTTTTTTGGGATGAATAAAAAAGTTGTGTTTGGGAGATGCCTCCACTGTTTAGGAAGAACCAGAAACTAAATTTATTGCATACTTTCTCAAAGAAAAGTCGGTATGTTATAGATAAATCACCCGATTTTCCATAGAGAAGAGCAATGTACGCATTCATGAATTGGAATAAAGCATGTGCCCAGATTGTGATGCATTTTAATTTATTGTCTTAAGTAAGATCTTTTTATCTTAAAATGGTTGGCAGATTCTTAGTACTGGCAGTGTACTGTAATATAGGTGAGAATCAAACATGAATGTGCTTATTAATATTAAATTGTCAAGTCTATTTTAAATTAAGTCTATTACTTATGATGAACAAGAGTTCTTATCACATCATGGTAGACGGTTAAAACACATAAATAATTACCTTTAACAAATCCAGTGTTCCTTAATTTGTAACATGCTCAGCTACTCTTCTGCATGACAGGAAGTAGCTAAATTCAGGACTGGCAGTACAGACTTGGAAATAGATTATATGATGCTAATACATCACACTCATCAGCTTGGAGTGTCATAAGACTGAGGTTATGGTTCCCATTCTGCCTTACTAACTTTGAAAGGCTGGTGAGACACTAAAAGTTTGGGGGCAGGGAAGATTATAATGGTACATAATATACGTTCTCAAGCTTAAATGAATTAACCCAAGTGTTAATTATCATGGTGATGAAAAACATGTAGACGTGTATTATCGTGGCATGGGGCAGCGTTGCACAGCTGTGACTTGGTGATGTTACCTCTAGAGTCAGAATGCTTGACCTGCATCCCCCTGATCTACCACTTGCAGAAGGTATGACCACAGAGAAGTTTATTACCCTCTCTGAACTTCAGTTCTTTCATCTGTAAAATATGAATTGTAATAGTATCTACTTCAGAGGGTTGCTGTGAAGAGTAATCAAAGAAGGCATGAAAAATGCTTAGCATGACATCTGGCACATAGTAATACCTTAATAAATGTTGTTAGCTAAAAGTTATCATTTTCATTATTTTAAAGTGTTAAATTTATGCAATACTAAAGGGTCCTAGAGGGCATTTTATTACACTAAGTCTTAAAAACAATGTACTTCATTTTATTTTGACAACCAGGCATTAATCCTTTATGCCATTTTTTGCTGGTCTTTTAGCCTCCATGGGATGGTATCTGAGTGGCTTGGAAAAGAATATTTAGTTGTGTTCACTCACCTTTAAAAGACACCTCTTTTGGTGAATTCCAGGTACAGCATGCCACACCCTAATTTCCTGAATAAAAAGCTCAGACATTACCTAGGCTTTTCAAGAAACAGGTCCACATATGTGTGGAGATTTGGAAGGTGCTAGAAGGGCAGAGATTCCAGCTGATTACAACTCTTAGTTCAAAAGTTAGACAAGAAATGTAATAAATGACATTAACAGGAGCTCAGTCATTTTCTTGCAAGGTGACAAGTGATTATAGTTTTTGATATAAAGCCTTCATTAAAAGATGTCTTCAAACAAAATTAACTCCATCCTTTTCTGGCAACCAATATAAAAGATTTGAGACCATTTATTCTGTGATACAGTAGAAATCAAACCTATTTTTGGTTAGATCAGGTTGAACTTGACAGTGAAACTGTGTTGCTGGCTAAAATAATTAAGCCGGTTTTACAAAGCCTCATCGACTCCATGTATTTTAATCATGAACTTCATAATCATTAAACTTAAGGGCCAGAGCCCAATAACTACAAAAATGATGATAATGATAGACAGACAGATAAATAGATAGATAGGTAGATAGATAGATAGATAGATAGATAGATAGATAGATAGATAGATAGCATCTAACACATGCCTGATTGCATCTCCCAAGCATCTCTCAAATTTACCTACTTTCTGTCTCCACTGCCACAACTCTGGTCTATGCCTCTAGCTTTTGTTCACCAGGAATTAGTGCAACAAATACCTGAGCTACTTATATCCAATTTTCCTCTCACTCTTGACAATTCATTCTGAATGCTGCTGCCAGTTAGCTTTCAGAAATACAAAGCTGATCACACTCCCATCTCAGCTTGGAGCTCTTCAAAGAATTGCAGTGGGGTGGGGTAGTGGGTTAGAGGGTTGTTGTTTCTAGGAATTCAAGATAAGAGAGGTAGGAACCTAATGGGTTATGAGGATGGAGACAAGAGATTATTCCAGAAAACTGGACAAGGTTGATCTGGAAGGGCCATATCAGCATAAAGGGGTCTGGCCTGAGCATTATTGAGAGGGGCATAGGGAGTTATTAAATGTATCCAAACAATGTGCATAATATGTCACTTCTATATGAAATTTTAGAAATGTGCAGGGAGAGAGAAGAGGTCTAAAAGAAAGCACAGAATAGGAAAAAATACTTATTTCTTAGTGGCTTTGGAATAATTTATAATTTCCTTAGTGTCTTTTAATATTGCTCTCATTTTCTACATGATTTTAAACCCTCCGATTTTTAAACATTGAAGTTATTTTTGTTTTGTAAGCAAACCAAAAGAAAAGCAAAAGTCCTGAGCTTCTTTTTTTTTTTTTTTCTTTTTACCACTCCACAAGGCAAATTAAAATACCGAGTTAATTGGGCCCCTCTGCACTTGTCTCTTATTGTAGCTAAATCTCTGGCCCAATGACCTGCTTTCTAATAGGCTTCCCACTGTCTCTGGCTTCCAAATTTCTTGCCTGCAGAAGTCTTTTTGAGTCTCTTACTGGCAGAACCATAGCCCCTGCTAGCTGAGCCGAGCCAACTGTGAGTATCATTGACCAAATGGTAAGCCGATTCTAATTACAGTGTTTTTGTTACTCTTTGAGAGGAAACATACAAGAGCCATCATTTATAATCCTGGTCAGAGTTTTTAGATCTCCCAATCTCAGAAGTGATCATTGGAGTTGTAAACAGAGCCAGTCTGCTGTGAAAAATGCTGGAAGGGAATTAATAAAGCTTTCGCATTTTTTTCCCCCGTTTTTAAGGAAAACTAATTTAATGGGTATATGGGATTTTTAGCTCTGAGGAAAATTCCTAATGAAGCTGGGCGCCGGGGGGTAGAATAGGAATTCAAATGTAATTAAATGCACATAATTATATCATTCTCCCAATTAAGATATTTCATTATATATGGCTATTTCCCCTTTAAAATAATTTTCTGGAAATAGAGGCAGCATGATCTGATCATGTATTCATTTTTTCTCGTTTGCTCTCATGTATCTACACGTAAGTTCTCACTTCTCAGAGGTATGATACATACTTGTCAGCACAGAGCATTTCCAAAAGACAGAGGTAGATTGGCTTCAAAGGCAAAGTTGCCCCTGAAAACTAAGGGCAACACAGAAAGATACACACATAGCACTCAAAATGGGATGGCATTAATTGATCATCTTCACTACCTAAATTTTTCCCATATTATCTACTAAGAAAACCTTCCAAAATTCCTTGGAGATAAAGGGTTAATATGGTGTAGTAGTTTGCTGGAATGTCATAACTAAATAGCATAGACTGCGTGGATTAAACACCAGAAATTCATTTTCTCAGCTCTCTTGAAGCCAGAAGTTCAAGATCAAGATGTTGGCATATTTGCTTTCTTCTGAGGCCTCTCTCTCTGACTTGCAGATGGCTGACTTCTCACTGAGCCTTTGAACACATACACCCTTGGTGACTCTCTTTGTGTCCTATTCACCTTTCTTAAGACACCAGTCAGATTGAATTAGGGCCCACTCTAATAGCCTCACTTTTACCTTACCTCTTTAAAGGCACTGTTTCAAAATACACTCACATTCTGAGGCACTAGGGCTTAGAGATTCAACATACTACTTTTTGTCGTAATTCAACCCATTCTATATATAGCATCAGCTGGAAAGCACAAATTGACAAAATGAAACAATAAAGCAACTAAGAGATTGTTTGTTCTCTTATAAAAATAGCAACAGTGATAAGATAATCTTCCAAATCTGAACAAAGAGATAAATATGGCCCTTTTTCACTCCAAAGAAAACCAAGAAGCTGCTCAAGCCAGAGCATTACTCTTCTTCTTGCAAGTGCCTGATGCCTCTCCAAAGATGTTCATGCCTCATGAATGAGAAGTGGACAGAACATGAGCTTTCATGTCAAGTGAGTTTTCTGTAAGTCCCAGCTCTCTTACAAGGGAACACCTTGGGCAAATAACTTAGCATCTCTGGGTCTCAATTCCCTCATTTGAAAAATAATGCTCTCATCCACTCTCCCTCCCTCCTTCCAAGGTGAATGGGGATCAAATTAGCAAAAGCTACCTTGGGGCTGTGAGATTGGGAGACTTGAACTTGTGTCTGATCTTGAATCTTGGTGATCAAGGCATAGTTTCATAGCAAAGGATAAATGGATATCCAATATTTCTGGAACATGAAACTAAGTTTGAGGAAACAAATTATAAGAAATCAGAACTTGAGCAATATAGAATATTAAATGAGTCTGGGAACTGTCTATAAATTTGAGAGAAATGTAAAAGACAGCAAATAAATGCCATTTTCTTCCATGTTTCATTACATAAAGGATTTGAGAGATGGTAAATAAATACAACAAAATGGGAACATACAAATAACAAATTTAAAATAATCAAAATAACTAATGACTTAAATGAAATAGCCAAAAGTATAGCAAATTGGGCTACAGCTAGATGGGCTGTGAGGTTGTATATCTGAAGCATAAATTTGTTTTGCTTATGATATTCCTAGGATGTAAGGCAAAACAGGGAACGTTATTATGGGTTCACATGACACTCACTTCATGAAGGAATAGAGTTCACTTTTTTTTTTTCTTATGGCAGCAAAGTTTTGCCAAGTGCACTGTTCCAGAAAAAACTTCTAGTGCAGGATGGTTTATGGGTCAGTGTTGGTATCCTGACTAATCACTAAATCTTCAGAAGAGGGGAGATTAACAGAAAGACAGAGGTCTGAACCCAACCTCCAGAGATTTTAGTTCAGTAGATCTGGGTAACACGTTCGTACTTAATATTTTTCAAAGTCTTTCTCAATCTATCTGATCATTAGCCGGGTTTGGAAAGTATTGATGTAGGGTATATTCAGGTGACTTAGGTTGGGTTTCCCCAAAAAGTGGGCAATGAGATGAAATTTGAATGCAAAGAGTTTATTTAGGAAGTGTTTCCCAAAAGTTTATTTGGGAAACATCAAAAGGGAAGTAGAAAAGTGAGACAAGGGAAGAAAGACAGCAAAAATTCGTGCCTTACAAAGCCCATTATTTTGATGTATGAGTTGAGCTTCATTCTTCTGGGGAAACTCTGCAACATGGGGTAGAATATATGCTTCCCAGAGTGAGGGGTCTGGGTGTTTATACACCAAGTTCTTACTAGTCATTGGCTGACGATTGCACCTTGAAGGTGCAACTCGCCAGCATTCCAAGCCTGCCATGTAAGTGGCAAAATATGCCATGGTGACCACAGAAAACCCTCAGGCAAGTGGATGCAGGAGGTGCCAGTTAGAATTTGGCTGGTGTACATGCAAATGGTAAGACTGAAGGCAGATGTGGCTGCCAGTGACACCACCCTCCCCAACATCCCCACCATCCCAGGAGCAACCTGAAAATAAAAGTCATCATCCCCATGATTGAAAACTATATGTACATCTGCCCCATCCTGGAGCCTGGTTTACTTAAGTGTATGTGGGATTTCAGAGCTGGCTGGGCCTAAAGGGATGGGTATAAAAAAGGGATAAACCATTGTGATCCCCAAACACCAAGCTCTGCTAACTAGCTGAGTGAGCTAAGACTTGCTTTGTTCTTTAGAACCTCACTTCCCTCTTGTGCAAATTAAGAAAAATGTCTTTCCCTATCCTCCTCCACTTATCAAGAGTCTTAAGATGAGACTTCATAAAATGAAAGGATGCGGAATAACTAGGCAATGTGACACTGGTGGAGCAAAGGGCTTTGCAGATAGCTACCTGGCTCTGCTCTTGCAGGATGCTTTCTAAGTTTTCGTTTCCTCATCTGCAAAATGAGAAAAATGATAGTATCTACTCGATAATAAATGTTGTGAGAACTAGGGAAGATGGGAACAGAATCTTGCACTATGCCAAGTAAATGATAACCATTGTTAGGGAAAAGTGGAATTGTTTGATAAGAGATTCTTTATCTGTGACTTATGCACAGGATTCCTCAGTTCATGTGAATATAAAAAGTCTTGTTAATGGTGAAGTGCTGAAAATGTCAGTTTAAGTCAGTCCTGTTTGTCCCCCTAAAGACTTACTCCAGGCAATACTTTTTCAAGATTTTCTTCTTCCTTTCTCACATCGCATTTGCCTCTTGTTAGTTGGCTCCTGAGAGAGCCCAAGAACTGGCAGGGCTGTCTGTGGGCATGAAAGACTTTGAGAGAAGACCAGCATCTTTCAGACATTTTCCTTCAGAAGAAATGCAGACAATCCCAAGGAAGCCGGCTTTCTGTGAATTAACCTCATCCTACTCCCCATGGGTCATTTTCTTTGGAAATCTATTCAACAGTTGATGAGATTAGCACAACAGATTGCTTGTTGGTTCTCAGACCAACAGCCAGATTTCAGATTGCCTTTTGTTTTACAAACTCTTCTTTGTAAGAAAATAAAAATAAAAAGAATAAAACAAAAAACACGAGGTTTTGGTTCTAACCCCAGAGAGACCTACAATCTATTCGTTTCAGGCCTAGCTTTTGAGGTCAGATCCAGAGAACTCCTGCCATTTGGATGCCTGGACATCCATAGGGAAAGAAAGCAAATACATTGATTCTTGTTTGAAAATGGTGAGCAAAATGCAGAACATTTTCCAGCCAAAGAAGAAACACAACTTATGAAATTGATCAACTCAATTGCCACTAGTGAGTGACAAGTGTAAATGTTTGCACTGAACTTGGAGACAGCCTTAAAAATATATCTAGTAATTTCCCCAGAAACACGAAACTTAGGCCATCCCTAGGCCAAATTTGGCAAGTATGCTTTGTTTTCAATGTTTCCAACATCTGTTTTCCTGATGTTTTCACAACCCAATTCCATGTTACCCCAATGTGCACGCAGACACACATACACACTCACACACACATGCACACATGCATGCACACGTGCATGGTTCCTAAGTGATCCTCACTAGCTTCTGGTTCTTTTCTTATTGAGGAGATTATAGCCATAAAACTAGTGACTTTCCTTTTTACTGTCCTCCACCAATGAAACCATGAGACTCTATGTTCACCTTGTGGCCTCTACCGCATAATTTCCCTGAGTTGAATGAAGAAGTCTTGGACCTTGAGGAGTGGCCCTGGCTGGGGATATGTAGCCCACTAAGTCATATGGCACATTTGGGACCATCCGTATCATGAGTGTGGGCAAATGTGGATGAGGAATGCAGATCTTCCTTTTTGTGTGAATTCAGATTCACCTATTTGGACTTCGGAATGAGCTGGACAGGACATTTATAAATGTGTGGTAATTGAGATTGCCTCTGGTTTGCTCTGTACGGGTCAGACCCAATCAGCTTGACAGATGAGTGATATCACTTTGGGAAGTCAAGCTAACAAGGGCTCTGGAAATGGAGAAGGGCATCATTTATGGATAGTCATTCTCCTCATGCCAAGCAGGGATGCACTCAATCACTTTTGGTTTATGTTGTTACTCAAGGAAACAAATGCTAATCAACTCTCCCTCTCCAGCAACTTGCACCAGGATCATTTTCTCCACCTCTCCACTGGGAAACCAGGTCATGCTCAACATGGAACATGTTATCTGGGGGCTGTTTTAAAAGGCAAACTGATCTCCTCATCCTATCTTGAAAGAACAAGAGGGCTTTTGGAATCATAAATATTCTTTACTGTGACTCTGTGACAATGTGGGAGCCTTACATGCCTTTCCAATCCTCAAGGAAACTTGCTGATGGCCAGTGACATTTTCATGGTGTATGTTGTTGTGTTGTTTATCAAGAGAGGAAATTAGTGTCCTTTAAGGGACACTGGTTGGGGAACATGAGGACACAGTGCTAATCTGCAGGCCTGCAAGAGTTTCAATTTCAACACCTGTAAATTAAGTAGGCAAGCTCATCCCTAAGACTCTCCCAGCCCTAACAATCTAGGCATTCACCTAGCTGTAGTAACAAAGACATTTAATTAAGCAGAATTTTCCACTTCCTAACTCTGCCGATAGATGAGAGAACTTACTATATGAATTGAAAGTATTAAACCAATAAGGAAAACCTACCCACGTCCAAGGCTGCCTTATGTTTGTTGATGTCAGGACAAGAATTATTGTGAAGAATCAGAGAAGGACGTTAAAAAAGAACAATGCGTACCTGGCAGATTGTGTATATCATTGCATTACAATTTGCCAAAGTGTTCTTGAAAGTTAAATCTTCCATTACATAACTTTTCATCACTTTGTTAAAAATGTTCCAGTTGGGTTGGCATGTTTTATGATTTTTCCTTGCTTCAAAGATAAGCACATTGTCAAAGATTAGACTAAAATTCCTAGGTATTTCTGAATTTAAAAGGTTGGGGTTAAGAAACAGATGCCAAAACAGGAGGCTGAGAAAAGCTGTTATTTAAAATGTTTAGAAGGTAAGATATAGGTTAGATACTATGTGTCTTGAGTTGATAGTTAATTTCAAAAATCTTACAGTCCCCAAATAGGTAGCTCTCCATCTGCAAAGGTTTGGAAAATTAACGGTCAAGCTGGGATCAAAACTGAAGCATACATGTTGGGCCTTTTTCTGTGCAGACTTGAGTCTTAGTTCCTTTCACTCATTGGCAGCATATACTGTTGGCCTTGGGGGACAGAGCATTCCCACAAGCTGGCAGGAAGAGCATTTCCTCTCAATTCTGATCATAAATGGGTGCCATAGCCTGGTATTTATTTTAAAATAATGAAACAAACAAAAGAATTAATTTTCTCCTCCAGTGGCTTATACCTGATTCATGGCAACCGAACTTAAAGGTTCTTTTTAAACAAAAACAAAAAAGTACTTGAGGCACTGTTAACTAAAAATCTACACATATAATTCAGGCAGGGGCATTATTAACCTATGACACATCTCTCAGCTCTATGTATATGGAGAATTTCAAAGTAAGTATGTGGAAATTTAACTTTCCTGCATCTGAACAAGGATATGACTATATTTACAGTCCTTTTCAGGGATTTATGCTTCACAAGTGCTTTTACTTGAATAATACAATTGACCATTGGGAAAATAAGCTCTCATTAGTGAGGACACAAAGATTATTTTGGAAGAAGCAGCCTGGAATGGATTATCTGATTTGTGAAAGCTTTTCTAAAATGAATGAGACTCATATACTCAAATAAATACAGTTAATTTACTTTTTTAAAGGGTTGTCTTAGCAAAGGCTTGATTTTCCTATTCTATAGGAAAAAATATGTGTATTTCAGTTCAGTTGGGTATCTTTCTAGAGTACCTGCAGAGATATATTATAGTATTGCCCTCCAGGGGGCGATAAATCTTCAACAAAGCTTCAATCTCACTGGGAAGGTGAATTCTCAATTCAGTTAGTAAAAGCAGACATTCTGGCTTCCTTCTTGCTGGGATGCAGGAATTCTCGGGCCTGTATCCTGAATTTTACATCGAGGAGTTACCCCAGGTTTCTAGACTAGATATAACACTTTTAGCAAGTCTGGTGGGGTTGGAGTGAAAAGCCCATGGCCCTGGGGTGTGTACTTTGAGCAGAGCCTGGCCGCAGTACTCTGCATGCCTCGCCACAGGTCCTGGATTAGCTGACCCTGATTGTCCCTTACAATAAATAAACATTTAAAGATACTATTGCTACCTAGGACCTCTAGGGCTTTCTGAGAGCAGAAATATTAGGCCCAAAGATACCCTAACTTGGGTTGGAGAAGGCTAAGTGTCTCAAAATGGCAGAGGTTCCCTCTTCCCTACATAAATCTCACAAAGGGCTATTTTTGTGGTATTAAAAAAATAAAACCATCACATAGGAGACTGCAGAACTATAGGTCTGAGGAATCAGCAACTTTAGGTAGGAAAGTTGATGAGCATAAGGCAGCACAGTGGATAAATGGTTCATAGCTTCTGGAGTTGACAGACTGGGTTTCAGTGCCTGCTATTCTTACAAACTCTGTATTAATTACTTAACTCCTGTGTCTCTGACTCTCATTCACAAAAGACTATCTCATAGGGGAGTTTGTAAGGATTCATTAAGATACTCCAAAGAAAGTACTTGTTGCATAGTAAGTGTTCCATAAATGCCATCAGTTCTGCTATTCCTTAGTCTGGAACTGAGATCTCTACTATATAGTTCCAGCCTTGTTTCTCACTTCTTTGCACAGACTCCTTCATCCCAAACACCTCCCTATATGATATCCCTCTGCTCGCTCTGCTTCTTCTATCTTCCTTGTCTACATCATCATCTTATGAGATCCCACCCAAGTTTTAAGGATTATCTGTAATGGTACCTTAAAACCAATAACTTCCACACAATTCCCTACTTCCAAGAACCAAATGTGCTTTCTCCTATCTCTGGCCAATGACAAGGACACAATATCTTGATTGTATGACAGATGCCCAGGAGTATATATTTTTTAAAACTCATAGAACTGTGTACCTAATCTAAGAAAATTATAACTATAAACCAACTCCGTAGGAATTTAATGTGAAGACCTGTCTTTGGAGACAGAAAGATTTGATTCAAATTTAAGTTCTAAGACTTTCTACCTGGTAAATCAATGAACCTCTCTTACTTGAAGTTTTTCCCTATGTAAATAGAGCAGTTGTCACTCTCTTATCTTATTGGGAGAGTTTAAAGACACAATAATAACATAAAAATGCCTCTCACAGTGCTTGCACCCAGTTGATGCTACATGATTACAAGGACCTTCCTCCCTAGCATAACCATTTCTACATTTGTCAAACATGCCCCAGTCCGCCAGAAAGTAGTCTTGAGGACAGGCTATGTGCTGTCTTTTTCTTTTCCATTTTGTCCAGCATAGTGCAAAGGTACAATAAGTATTTGGATTCAATAGCTAATTATATCTATTTTTGAAGAGTAAATGCCAAAAGGCATCCTGACTTAAGCCTCTAAAGGATGCCACACTTGTGTATAACCACCTAGTAAAGTTCAGTATTTTAGAGTCTGACAGATACTTAACTCAGCCAATAATTCAGCTATGGCTCCCCAGTGTACAGTAGGGCTTAATAACACATTTTTTCATTGTGATAGTTCTTTGAGTTCATAAAGGTTGTCTGTTTTTCTTTAGAGCAAGTAGAATGACTATACTGTTTTCTTGACCAATAAGTCACTCTGTTTTCCATGGTTCAAAGTTAAGCTTTTATTTGGTTTTAAATTAAAAAAATAAATTTCATTATTAAATAGTGAGATGGATCTAACTAATGTTCAGATAGTAGCTTACTCAGAAATATACCACCGGGGGTACAGTTAAGGGGTGGATCACCTAAACTAAAATTATTTGTTATGTTGTAGTGTTTGTTAAAAGTTCAGCAGTGGCATAATTCAAAAGAAATTGAAATACAAAGTTTTAAATGTTTACAATGGATGGGAGAAGTAAACCACTTATTTCTACTGCAATCGCAAACTACTTTCTTTCTCAATGCCAGTCAGTTTGGACACTATACCACAGTGCTAATATCATCAGGTTCATCTGCTTTCTTTTGCCTGCTTGGCAGGGATTTCAAGTATTCGAGGTGTCTCCGGGCATCCTCCTGATTTTGCCTCACATAATATACCACATATGAGATCACCATGGTGAACCAGCCAAACATGGTGACCAGCATGGCATAATCGGTAGTTTTTTTAGGGAGGTTACAAAGGTCAGCATCGTTGGCAGCATTGAGGAATGGTCTGCCAGCATGTTCATCCAACACGGATGTTTTACATATCACATTGTGGGCTGTCTCATGATTGGATGCCATGCTCCTCAGAACTTGCTGTAGAGTACAGTCGCAGTGCCAGGGGTTGTTGGCAATTCTGGCCCTGGCCTTCAGGTTATTGAAGGCATTTTTGTGCACACTTTGAATCCGATTGTCGGACAAGTCCAGAGTCTGCAAGGTTTCAGCCACTCCTTTGAAGGCATGCTCATCGATAAACTCAATGCCATTTTTGGACAGGTTGAGAACTCTCAGTTGATGGAGGTCCTTAAAAATTTCATTGGGAATAGATGTGATCTGATTGGAGTCCAGATACAGTAAGACTGTTTCAGGAGGAAGATCTCTAGGTATTTCCTTGAGATTTGCATTGCTACAGGTGACATTTAAACCCCCAGAGGAAGAACAAAGACAGCCCTTGGGACACATACTGGCAGAATGAAAGCACAGTATCATAAGAACAAAACTTTGTAGGAGGAGACACATGGAGAGGGAACGGGTTAACCACAGGTCTACCAGATTCATACTGGAATGTCAGCATAATCACGAGCCCATTCCTCATTTACTCCAACAAGTGTGGTAATGGTTCCAGCCCTGTCCACACTATTGATTTCCTTCTTGCGTGGTTCAAAAGGCTGCAGCTAACACATGTGTCTCTTCATTATTTCTGTCCTTGCTTGGGCACCTAAAGGAAAGGGAAACAGATGCAATTAGCTCCTTTGCAAAGGGAGGTACATTGTAATTAAAGGTGCTCTCAGGTGTCTGGCATTCTATGTGGGTAGGGGGTTAGGTTATGCAGGTAATTTCCATCAATGCCACTAGGAATTCTCTGTGAAATGGGAGTCTCCTGTTCAAATCCCAAGTGCTGGGGGAGAGAACTGTCAATATATGAAAATACTTTTGAATTCTGTTGCCTGGTTTTCAGTTGGATAGAATGAGAACAAACACTCCCTATTTCTCTGCTGATCTCCACATCTTGGACCCCTTCTAATTCTACAGAAATAAAATTTAATTACGCCACTCACCCTTTCTGAGACAACAGATGCATTAATGCAATTTAGTCCTGCACTTGGGCAGCATTGAGAAATAATACCAACATTTCATGGTTAATGACTATAGACAGGAATATCTGTCATGGCTTTTGAATGGATGCCCAATTTGGAATATTGTCTCTAAAGAAACATCTTACTTGAATTAAGAAAAGAATAAATGCATTCCAACCTTCACAACAAAATACTGCTAGAGGCTGACAACCAAGAACCTCCAGAATAGTTGCCTTCCTTGTGACCTCTTAAAATTACATTATACCTGGGAGGATGCTTTTAACTGAATTTCCAGAGGATCCTCTCTCTCTTTTCTAAGGACCATATCCCCATCCCAATAAATGCTTAAATATGACACACACCTACAAGACTTTTTTATATAACAAGAGAATTAAGAAATACTGGCTTTGAAAACTTTCCCAATAAACTTCACTCTCTATGTGTTGCATATATATACTGTTAGTGTTGGCAGAGGCCACAGAAATTGCAAAATTAAGTGATATGAACAAAGTTATGAAACTTACTCGACAGCAGAGAGCAGAGATAAGAATATAAGTTAACTCTCAAAATTACCCTTTAATATAGACATGAAAGCACACATCTTTGGGACCAGTTCACAGAGGAGACAAGTGGATCCCAGAGAGATGAGGTTTCTTGCACAAGGTCAAACAGATTGAGATGTAGAGACAGGACTCAAGCCAAAGTCTTTGTTCTGACTCATTAATATCAAAGCCCTTTCCACTATCCACACACACTCTTCCAATCTCATCTGCTCTATAAGTATTTAGCAAGCATTGCTTATTGTGATTTATGATGCTGTTATGTTGCAGCCCTATCTTTTATGCTATGAATACTGTGCCAAGTTGAGGACCCCATGGAGCTCAAGTGAGGGGTCCCTCTGCATTTCAAAGGGAACCCATGCCTGACTGAGAAGATTCCCTCCCAGGATCTGAGAAACAAGAAGAGCATTCACTCCTCTTACAGCAGTGAACAACACACAACTTTCTGCATGAGCAACTAATGACTTTCTGAAAACTTATCTTTTATGAAGATCCCAGATGGATAAATACAGAGAGAAATGACTCCAAATGTTACCGAACTCACAGAAGAGAAGATTAATGATTAATGTGAGCTGAAAACACAATGATCTGGATTGTTAATCATGGAAAAAATGAGATTAGCAACAGCAGAATGCAGTGGATGTGCTTTTGGAAAACTGAGTCCCTTAAATACCAGAGAATGCTAAAGAGAGACCCTAAGCTTACTAAGCCCTCTATCACCAGAGCATTTCATTGACAATGAAAGTGTCCTCCCTTTCATGTTTCCCTTCAAAACTGTCTTGCATAGCACTTGGGGACTCTAGGAATCTAGATGGGAAAGAAAAAAAATAAACAGGTGTGAAAGGGAAGAGAGAAGACAGAGGAGTAGAAGGACAAGGCAATGAATTCTAGGAAAGGGGCATGAGAAAAACACAGGAGATAGAAGAAATTAATGTAATCGAAGAAAATAAAGGGAGTCCACATCAACCAAGTGATTCCACTGAGTATGTGCAACCAGCCTAAAACATGCTGAAAGATGAGAAGCCGTTTCTGGAGGACACTTCATATTTCTCTTGGGATTCATTAAAGGAGTTTGGTGTAGTAAAGTGTTCTCTATTCAGAGTACAAGCTCCATGAGGGCAGAGACTTGTTTCTGCCTCTTGCAGAGACAACAGTAAGCAATTAAAAAGTAGAAAGTATACTGAGTTTGCATATCAGCTTTATTTGTTTTTATTTTATTTTGAGATGGAGTCTTGCTCTGTTGCCCAGGCTGGAGAGCAATGGTGTGATCTCGGCTTACTGCAAATCTCTGCCTCCCGGGTTCCAGTAATTCTCCCGCCTCAGCCTCCCAAGTAGCTGGAACTACAGGCACATGCCACCATGTCCAGCTATTTTTTTTTTTTTTGTATTTTTAGTAGAGACAGGGTTTCACCATGTTGGCCAGGCTGATCTTGAACCCCTGACCTTAAGTGATCCACCTACCTTGGTCTCCCAGTGCGCTAGCATTACAGGTGTGAGCCACTGCATCGGGGCTGTATCCCAACTTTAATTCTTATTAGTAGTGGTGTTCTTAGGGATCTCATTTTCTTTATCTCATATGAAGATGATAAAAGCACCTAATTACAAGGTTGATTTGAGGGTTATATGAAGTAATCCATGTAAAGCACTTAGCACAGTATGAAATTGGTAGTAAAAGTTCAATGCTTCTTAGCCATAGTTACTATTATTATTATCGGATACATTCCCAACACCCAGCATAGTGCTTGGCATATCGTGAGGACTAAATAAATATCTTTTATATGAATAAAGCAACAAAATATTGAAGAGTCTAGCTATGCTTTTTATTCTCCATGGCAATTATTTTTATAAATATTTTAAACATAAACATTGGTTCATCAAATGTCTACTGGTGTTACACGGCAACATAATGGACTTAGGAAAAGTCATATGTGTTTCAGGCTCCTAGGAGATGGAAAGAAGAATGGAACTCTTCCTCAGTAGGCTTTTTTACACTTATTCAGGGTTTCTCCAGAAGGATCAGTCCAATGGTCATGGTCACATATAAGAAATGTTTAGGACACAGGTTGAGTTCTCTACTCAGATTGCAATCTTTCTTGAGATGGAATCCATCATATCCCAAATGGTCTACCTGTGAACTGGATGTAATGCTTGTTAGGAGTATAAATACAGAGCACCCCTTGCTTTCAAAGAAGTTGGACTTGAACTGAGTATTTCATTTTCTCTCTATTATGTTTGATAAAAAGAGAATAAAGTCTTCTGGGATTGGCTATATTGCTGAGCCTCTGTGAGTCAGCCTCTACAGCCATCACCCCCAACCAGAATAAAGTGACAAAAGATGCAGGATGTAGACAGCTGAGCCCTGGGATGCTGCAGTGGTTTGAGTATGTGTGTCCTTCACATTTTCTGATGTCTAAATCTAATCCCCAGTGTGAAGATATTTGGAGGTGGGGTCTTTGAGAAGTGATTAGGTCATGAAAGCAGAGCCATCATGAATGGAGCTAGTGCCCTTATAAAAGAGGCCCCAGAGAATTCCTTCATCCCTTCTGCCATGTGAGGAAACAGAGAGAAGAGAGCCATCTATAAGCCAACAAACAGGACCTCACCAGAAACCAAATCTTCTGGCACCTTGATCTTGAGCTTTGCAGACTCCAGAACTGTAAGAAATAAATTTCTATTGCTTTAGCAGTGCAAATAGACTTAGACAGATGTCCAGGATATAGACAACAAAGCCAAAGGCACCAAGTCAAGGTCATCTTCACCAGGGAGGATGGAAGAGCTGCTTTCCACTCCATGATACTGGTTCCGTAATTTCCTAAGGGATTATCAGTTTGACATTGCTTTATATTACTAGATAGGTCAACAATGCCTTTTGGAAAAAGAAGATATGAGGATATGCGCCTCAGAGAAAAAGAGGTGGATATTCTTCTGACATTGGTTATCATCCAGCAGAATACAGGGCTAAAAAGCTTGGAAGCCTAAAACTCCCTCCTGCTCTGACTGAATCACATCTATACACAAACCCCAAGCAGTAAACAAGCTATGCTGCTGGGCAAGAAGACTGCCTTCCTACTAACTTCAGAATGAGTGGTTAGAACATAAAGAAGGACCTGGGGTCACACTGGTAATGGCAAAACAACAACAGCAGTTACTGCCTGTCTTTCTGATAAGAATAAGATCTATTAAAGGGACGGACCAAGTTAAACAGCGTCTTTCCTCCCTCCTAACTCCCCCTCTGCAAATCTTGACTCACTGGACTACCCTATCCCCATCTACTCATTCCCTTTAACTATGTCTGGGTCAAGCAGGATGCCGTAATATTTCTGGATGTGGTGTTTAAGTATTCACTGCACCCCAAAGGAGAATTATTTTATCCAGACTCATATCTCGCTCGTATTTTCTTGCCACCCAGGTTTCTGAGCATTAGCAGTTAATTCTGGGATTGGGTGGCAACCATCAAATACCATTTCCAGAAGAAAAAAAAACAGTGCATTTAACAGGGTGTTCATTCAGTGAGAAGACAGGCCATTCAGCGGCTGATTAACAACTGTCTTGCTGCTTATTTCTTTCTTTTCATCATTAAATGACAGGAACATTCAGAGATTCTAACACAAAAGCTTTTATTAACCCTTCTGAGACAACTAAGTGTATCAATTCACAGAGAAATGCCAGATACACCAGTTTCTTCCAATTATAGTCTATGCAACTCTATTACCAAACAGGAGAATTTGATTAAAAAGGAAATAGATAGCAAAACAGGAAGGGCTTTTAATTTAAAACATAAAATTCAGATCAAGGGGGAAAAACCCTCATACATTTAATTATTTTAAATTTAAAACTTCTCCATGGCAAAAAGTTAAGGTTATAAACAAAGTCAAAGAACAAATGACAAAACAAAAGGTTGATTATTTTAATACACAAAAAATCCTTTCAAAAGAATAATAAACTAATCTAATTTAAAAAATGGAGAGCTGAGCTGGGTGCAACAGTACACACTTATAGTCCCTGCTACTTATGAGGTTGAGGTGCAAGGATTATTTGAGCCCAGAAGTTTGAGTCCAGCCAGGGCAACATAGCAAGACCCT